AACTCCCAGAATCCCCCAGCCAGCCATGTTGGCTGGGGAATTCTGGGAGTTGAAGTCCACAGATCTTAAAGTCACTGAGGTTGAAAAACACTGATCTAGAAGATTAAAAAAATCTATTTTATGGGGTTACTAAGGGTCAGCGCCAACTTGATGGCATGTAGTCAGTCTAGAAGACCCCAAATTATAAGAGTTGTATAGAAAATAGGATCCTCCTATGCACCAGAATGAAACCATTATTGGTGGTGACTTGGAAGAGGGGCCTCGGTTAATACAGACGTTCCACCGTTCAACCTTTTTCTGATGCATATTGACCAGGGGCAGAAAGGTTCTCTTCCCATGCTCAGAGACCAGTGGATTTGGGGGCAGGCAGTTGGGGGCAGGCAGGACCCTCTTCCATCTTCAGATGCCCTGGATGGGGGGCTCGCACCCCAGAAGGTAGCTTGCAGAGGTCTTCCGATGTACAAGGACAGTTCAGAGTTGGCAAGTGCAGGATGCTGAAAGGAAAAGCACTCTGCCCGTGCCCCAGTCCCCCCTCCACCAGCTTCCAACGAGGCCGCAGCCCCTCGGTGTGGAAGGGTAGCCTGCAATCCTGGTTAAAGGAGCCCGTGTCCGCAGCTGGCGCGGCGGGCAGAGGAAGGGGAAGGCTCCAGCCGCGCGAGGGGATTGCAGAAGAGTCGCCTGATTCTGAGTCAGTGGGCCGAACGGCAGAGCCAGTGGCCTGCTGCGTCGCCATAGCAACCCGCGGTCCACGGGAAGCGCATCAAAGGGAGAAGGAGGAAAAGCGAGATAAATGAGCAGCGGTGGGTCACGGGAAGCAGCGGGAAGACGGGAGAGGTTTTCGGCAGGCTGCAGAAAGGAGACTCTTCTGGCTGGGGCTTTTCCCAGCGGGCCCCTCTCGGATTGGGACACGGCCCTCCTGGAATGAGGTCTAGCGACTTGCGGCGCCACCCGGCGGGGTGGCTGGGTCCCGCCTCCTGCGCTCCATGGCTCACGGGCCGCTTTCTCCGACGGTCGACAGCATGGCACGCCTCCCGTTGCCAGCTAGGACCTCGGCCGGGCCAAGAGGCGTTGAACAATGATGGCATGGCCCTTGCAGGGCTGGGATCAGGGAGGGCGTGACTGGCTGCCTTTTCCATTTCCCATTGTGCCCAGCGAAGCTTGGCATCGGGGCCTTGTGGGGATGCTCAAGGGCAGACACCAGCGTGCACGGAGGGGGAGCGTTGATTTAATTTATCAGTGCACCCAGTGACGTCACAGGGAAGCACTGGGAGAAGTTAGTGGCCACTTCTTCGGTGCATGTGTGAATTTCACATAAGTGGACTTCAACTCCCAGAATTCCCCAGCCAGCATGGCTGGCTGGGGAATTCTGGGAGT